ATCCCCCAGCCTGTATTGATACCGGGGGTTGCCCCGACCCAGGTGCAGGACGTTGCACTTGGCCTTGTTAAACCCCATGAGGTTCACATGGGCCCACTTCTCGAGCTTGTCCAGGTCCCTCTGGATGGCATCCCGTCCCTCTGGCATGTTGACCGCACCACTCAGCTTGGTGTCATCTGCAAACTTGCTGAGGGTGCACTTGATCCCACTGTCTATGTCATTGATGAAGATATTAAACAGTACCGGTCCCAATACGGACCCCTGCGGGATGCCACTCATCACCAATCTCCATCTGGACATTGAGCCATTGACCGCTACCCTCTGGATGCGACTATCTAACCAATTCCTCACCCACCGGACAGTCCACCCATCAAATCCATACCTCTCCAGTTTAGAGAGAAGGATGTTGTGGAGGACCGTGTCAAAGGCCTTACAGAGGTCCAGCTAGATGACATCTGTAGCCCTTCCCATGTCCACTGATGTAGTCACTCCATCATAGAAGGCCACTAGGTTGGTCAGGCAGGACTTGCCCTTGGTGAAGCCATGTTGGTTGTCTCGAATCACCTCCCTGTCCTCCATGTGCCTTAGCATAGCTTCCAGGAGGATCTGTTCTGTGATCTTCCCAGGCACAGAGGTGAGACTGACTGGCCTGTAGTTCCCTGGATCCTCCTTTTTTCCCTTTTTAAAAATAGGGGTTATGTTTCCCCTTTTCCAGTCAGTGGGAACTGATGTACAATATCTGATAATATAATAACTGATCTACAGTGATGTAGAATAGAGAAATACAGGCCTGGTAAAACAGCTGAGGTCTTGAGAAGTGGAGACACAGGATTTGGCATAGAGGAGAACAGACATGGGATGATAAGCGATGGAGCACAGGCTTTGTGCTGGAGACCCCATGGCTATAAACAACTAACGATTAGTTAAAAAAACCTAATGATTAGTTAAAAAAATGCAGACCCAGAGCTGGACAAAACTGGTTTTGAGGGTAACAAAATAAACCTATCTAAGATGTTCAGAGTATAGGCACCATATACAGTATATTCAAATGTAAATGTAAAAAGAAAGAGAAAGGTGTAAATTTATGTTAGCAAACATATATACATGAGCCTAAGTGGAAGGAAAGAGAAGGGAAAAAAAAAAAAAGAGAGAATGAGGAAACCATTAACAAGAACACCACATTCCTCCCAGTGAAGGACTTCAGATGCTGACAACTTGCCATGACACCCCCGCTCCGCAAACATCAGAGTGAACCACAGATCTTAATATCCAGAGGAGCAGCAGTCAGGTGAGTGCAACACCAGAAAAGGCATAGAAACTAAGTGTGTGTGTTGCAATTTTAATTGTATTATTGCTATTAGTGCAACTTTTTTCCTGTATATAAGTACTCGACCTACATTATTTTTCTTTGCTTTTCTGTAATTAGACCTAGACTAATGATGACTCTTGAACTAGACTGTTAAAATTTCTATTATACTAACAATAAGTTCTTGGCTTTACATATATATGTAAAATGGTTTGGCTGATACTGTAGAAGGAAGGGATGCCATCCAGAGGGACTTTGACAGGCTAGAGAGGTGGGCCCGTATGAACCTCATGAAGTTCAACAATGCCGAGTGCAAGGTCCTACACCTGGGTTGGGGCAATCCCAAACATGGATACAGGCTGGGTGATGAGTGGATCGAGAGCAGCCCTGCAGAGAAGGACTTGGGGGTATTGATGGATGAAAAACTGAATATGGGCTGGCAATGTGTGCTCACAGCCCAGAAAGCCAACTGTATCCTGGGCTGCATCAAAAGAAGCATGGCCAGCAGGTCGAGGGAGGGGATTCTCACCCTCTACTCCACTCTGGTGAGACCCCACCTGGAGTACTGTGTTCAGCTCTGGGGGCCCTAGCATAAGAAAGACCTGAACCTGCTTGAGCGGGTCTGGAGGAGGGCCACAAAGATGATCAGGGGGCTGGAACACCTCCCCTGTGAGGACAGGCTAAGAGAGTTGGGGTTGTTTAGCCTAGAGAAGGCTCCAGGGAGACCTTATAGCAGCCTTCCAGTACTTCAGGGGGGCCTACAGGAAAGATGGGGAGGGACTCTTTATTAGGGAGTGTAGTGACAGGATGAGGGGTAACAGTTTTAAACTGAAAGAGGGTAGATTTAGATTAGATATTAGGAAGAAATCTAATTCTTTACTCTGAGGGTGGTGAGACACTGGAACAGGCTGCCCAGAGAAGTTGTGGATGCCCCTTCCCTGAAGTGTTCAAGGTCAGGTTGGATGGGGCTTTGAGCACCCTTCCTGGAAGTGTTCAAGGTCAGGTTGGATGGGGCTTTGAGCAACCTGATCTAGTGGAAAGTATCCCTGCCCATGGTGGGGGTGGGGGGGTGGAACCAGATGATCTTTAAGGTCTCTTCCAACCCAAACCATTCTATGATCTATGATTCTGTATATAAGGCATACTTCCTCTTTGTCCATGAACAAGATTTTGAAATGTAACACTGAGTTCTTAGTTTAAGAATGTTTAGTAATGGTGTCTAACAGAGATAGAAATCCTCCATCTCCTTTACCTACTGTCCTTCTTAAATGGATTAATGGTGATAATTTTCAAGGCTCAGTTACGCTAGTATCTCACTACATTTCAGTAACACAAACAGTTTTTTAATGGTCTTAATAATGTTTATCTGCAGCTTCAGTGTAAGTAGCTGAAACATATTTATACATAGTCTTGTTGCATTGATTTAATATGCTCTTGAGAAAGTGAATTTGAGGTGGTACTACTTACAGCATTATATGATGCTGGCCACAAAAGATAAGCACATGGACTGTTTAGCACTGTTCATTGTTTCAGGATCTAAAATTACTTCTCTTTGTTTTATTATAAAATGTTTATGGGTTTGGATTTTTATTTTTTTAAATTACGCTACAAAAATAAGCTATTACTGTATTTTAACAGATACAGGTTTGTGAGGATAAAGCGTTGGGATGACAACCATTCCTAAGTAAAGGTGGTGATTACCTCTGATTCATCTGTGCTATTGTTAGGAGTTGTCAGATCTGGTGGCCTGATAGAGGCGAGGCTGCTACAGCTCCATGCCCCCAGGTTCAACCAGTTGCAAAGCTGAGAATGTATTCTTAGTAGGCACACACACAAACACATGTATACAACACATATATACATATGCACCCAGCCAGCAACACAAACAGAAGCACCCAACACTCACACAAACACAAAGAGCACCGATGGCTGTATTCTGTCCCACTCTCTGGCTGATCAGGTTGAAAATCCATCAGTGGGAAATAGACACATATACACAATGCACATCGCTCCAGTATCTGGGCTTAGAAACTCAGTCTACCCAGTAGCTGGCTCTGGATGAAGTTGGGACAGGGGCTTCATTTCTCTTACTGGGTTATTTGGGTTCCCCAGCCTGTGGTTGTCTCTTTTTGCTCCTTCCTGTTTGTGCAGATGAGCCTTTTATGGGTTGATTGCACTTCTGTGGTGGTTCTGGGATTAGCCAGGTCAGGGGATTATTTGGGTTCCCCCACCTGCCATTGTTCCTCTGTGTCCCTTTGTGTGTGTGGAGATGAGCTTTTTCCCACATAGCCTAACATTTATGATGGGCTACTTCTGTAACACTTTCTGGTCCTATACACCAAGTTATCTAACACTTCTATTTGAGAAGACAGACTCTCAAATCCAGTTAGAGGAGCAGATCTGTACTTCACCTCAAATCCCACACTTTGTAGCCTTTTCCTCTTCATGTATAATTATATCAAGGTTAAAAATAGGGTAGTGTACCAAACCAGTATAGCTCCTGATGCCAGTGTCTGATTAACCTTCTCACCCTTTCTGATTTGGCTCCTGAAATAGCAGTGATTTGCTAGATTACCTTGCACCTCCTTTCTATTCTGAGACGACTGTTTATATCATTGAAACTTTCAGGTTTGTAAATCAGCCTCTAAGCAGATTAACATTTATAATTGGCTTGTGGAAAATTAGATCCCTCACTTAACTGACACTGATATCAAACATGGACAGGAGCAGATGGGCAGTGCTGTAAGAGCAACAGGAGGAAGAGGATCATTCCTGTAGCATCATTCTTCTGACCACGCATACACATGGGGAACAATAGCAGCTCCACAGTGGATGATCTGCAGGCTGTTGAGATCCACCACTGGTACAAAAAGTTCATGATGGAGTGTCCTTCTGGACAGCTGACAGAGCATGAATTTAAGCAGTTCTTTGGGCTTCGAGGGCTGGATCCAGAGGCCAATGAGTACATTAAGCAGATGTTCCGCACGTTTGATATGAACAAGGTGAGTTCTCCGGCAAGGAAATTAACTGCTTCGTACTACTTAAAAGCGAACCAACTCCTGCACTTTTAGAGTCCTTGTTTTCTCCTACAAACATTGGTGTGGAAAGCTGCTGAGGGACATTAACGTAAAGTAGCTAAACGCAAGGAGCAAATTAATGTGCATAGATAATGACATAGATAACATAACCATAGGTAATAACTCCTTATTATCTACCTACCTCGTGCAAGTTCATCTTTGAATTTTGAAAATTCCTTATTGTGTATTAATTGACTTGGCCTTGTTTGACTAGCAAAATACTAATGAAAGGAGATTTCATTCTTATTTTTATTCTTATATGTTCTTATTCTTATTATTCAAAAATATATCTGTGTTAGATATTAGAGACTACAGGAATCAAGCACAATAGAAATTATTATAACATTCACAGAGGAAGTATTTTCCATGTATTTGGCAGCTGAAATTAATACTGCATACAGCAGTAGCTAGGAGGTAGATAGTATTCCTCGCTTTGACAGGTGACCACCGGCTGTCTCTAAGGTAAGAAACAGTAGCCCCCATAATTCCTTTAAGCATGCAATGCCCCTCACTTCTGCCTGTTTTTTACTCATATATACTTAAGACTACGCTTGCAGGCCTGTAATCTCAATGACAGAGAAATTTGGTTTTATGGCAGCCTGGGAAAATTCAGCTTTGCTCTCTGGTCCAAGGTTCTGAAATGGCTAGAGCAAATGTCTGTGAGTCAGGGAGGAACTAGTCACAGAGACATGTGAAACAGCTGGAACATCACAGGGTCAATTTTGATGAAGGAAAGCCTAGGGACTGAGCAAAGAATGTTGGTTTGGACAACATGTGAGAAGGCATAAAGAGTTAAGGAATGCTAAGGAATATTACAAAATTCTTAAATGTAAGAGAGGAGCAGCCAGGCTCCATTAGGGTAGCTGAGGTCTTGTGGTGGATATAATGACTGGAAATGACTGCAAATCTCAAAGAATAACCTTTCTCATCCTAAAGTTCTCTGTGCCCAGGATGATGATAGTGATGAGAAGCAGTTTTATAAACTAAACCAATACATTTACAGTTCTTGCACAAGTCCTTCCCTTTACCTCTCTCATTTCTTGGGATGTTTAAGGACTTTAACATTTGTTCAAGGATGTTATGCATTCCAAAGTTCTCCTGTGAGCCCCATGTTATGCAGTAAACAATGTTTTAAGAAGACTCTCAAATTCAAATTTGGTCATACAAGATAAAAAGCTATCTTCTAAATAAAGTGATAGTGATCTCAAGGGGAACGAAGTAAGAGTGTGGCAACTAGTGGAGATGGACCTACATCAGCTAATCTTAGCCTGTTAATAGTTAGCCATTTAATCTAAGTTCCTTTTATAAACAAGGGCAAGGAACAAGAGCACCCAGAGGAAGAGCCACCCTATAGTAATACAGACATAGACGATGGATGGAATCATCTGCCCTCTGGACCTTCAAATTCTGAGAACTCTGCTGAGGACAAAGAGGATAAATTTTCAATAGAGTTATTTTATAAATTGCAATCATGCCCTCCTTCCCACCTTTAGAGCTGGTTATCTTTGTTTTCTGTGACTTTGCTCAATGAAGTTATGACAAACTCACATAAGGGGAGTACTACAATGATCCTGAATGAATATTTTAAAATGTTGTGATCCTTGCTGTAAAACAGTAGTGCTCTGTGAGTCCACCTACATTCGCCTTTTACATATATTTATTTACATCCATTCCAGAAAGGCATCTGACTTTGTTTAAATACCTCAATAAATTAAAGTTTCATTTTTTTGCTCTGTAATTTGTTGAAGTAGTTATTCAGAATCTTTGACAGAGATATGCACTTTATTTGTTGTTTCTTTTTAACCACTTCAAATTTTAGTCAGTGTTAAATCTAGAGATTATAAAACTTTACTTGGCATTTTTCTTGCAGAGGAAACAAAGCCTTTTGAGTTTCTTTGTAGAGTCAAGAAATCGAATGTTTAAAAACCTAAATACAGAACAATTTTTCCAGCTGTTAAATCATGTTCTATGTATTTTAAAAAATATCTTCAGTCACTTTTTTTTTTAGAGAATGGAGAAGACATCTATGGCTTACTGAAATAGCAGTAGTTTCCCACAAAGGCAAAGCAGACTAGTACAGAAAACCTAAGGTAGAATTACCTTCCACTTTTCTTGCAGCCAGGGCTCTGGATCAATTTTCTCTCCCAGCAGGCCATAGGCAGTCAGCTCTGGTGGACGGAGAGGGGTTCGTTCACGCTGGCTATGAGGAGTGACAGGTTCCATCTCTGCAGGTGGCCAGCACAGAGTAGCCTAGACATGTAATAGATCATAACTTTAGGAATCCAGGTATTTAGGAGATAGAATCATAGAATAGAATCATAGAATCATTAAGGTTGGAAAAGACCTCTAAGATCATCGATTCCAACCGTCAACCCAACACCACCATGCCCACTAAACCATGTCACTAAGTGCCACATCTACATGTCTTTTAAATACTTCCAGGGATGGTGACTCAACCACTTCCCTGGACAGTCTGTTCCAATGTTTAACCACTCTTTCAGTAAAGAAATTTTTCCTCATGTCCAATCTAAACCTCCCCTGGCACAACTTGAGGCCATTTCCTCTCGTCCTAGCGCATGTTACTTGGGAGAAGAGACCGACACCCCCCTCGCTACAACCACCTTTCAGGTAGTTGTAGAGCGCGATGAGGTCTCCCCTGAGCCTCCTATTCTCCAGGCTAAACAACCCCAGTTCCCTCAGCCGCTCCTCTTAAGACTTGTTCTCCAGAC